ATTCTAAGATTTGATTTACATTTCTAATTAAAGTTGTTTTTGATCATACGTATAGATAATTATATAAAAATTCCAAAATTCTAAAATTTCAAATACATACAAAAACAATCATATGTAAATTTTAAATTTGTGAATATTAAAATTTTATATTTTAATTACATATATTCACCCTGCGCAAGGCGCAGGTCTTATCCTAGTAATTTAATTACAAAGGGATATGTTTGAGTTCTGTTGTCACCAGAAAACAACACTACATTACCAACTACGCAGGTCATATGAATACTCTAGTTTTATTCTTTACTCCTCCTTGAACCTTAAAAGTGTTAGGGAACACATCAAAAGAGAGTGGTTTTAGACAGTATGAGCTGCACGGATCGTCTTTGAATCAATTTGTTTGAGCTTGATCACTGATTCTAAATGCCTTGACACTGAGTGTTGCTCGACGAGTCTATCAGATGAACAATAACAAAGATTGTTTCGGTAAAGATCAGAGATGGTTCTTGTAGTATATAAAACGAAAGAGAAAACCCAAAAGCAGTAAAGAACCTGGCGATTTCTGCACGCCTTCTGGTTTGTTCAGCGATCCAAGAAGGTCGAGAATGACTTCCACTGAGTTCTTCTGCTGAATGACTTCTCTGATTGATGGTCACATTGGCCGTTCCATCATCTTTCTTATAAGTAAACGCTGTCTAAAAGACAAAAAAAAACAATAGTTTATGTCTTTAAAAGAACAGAGTATAAGTTACCAAGCAGAGGACAAGACATGCACCAACCTTACGGTCTAATACGAGGTTCCAAGCATCTCCACTCAAAGCGTAATGGAAGACGAACTTTATAATATCTAGAGGTATGTAAAATATCAGACTGTATAACCATATAACACCTGCCCATCCCCATCCAATGCCTGTGATGTTAGCAAAGCTGATATTTGCATAGACTGCAATTAATGTAGCTGCCTGTGTACATGAAAAACAGACAAGTCAATATCAAAACTTGTAGATGCTATATAGCATTCTGTGATGGAAAGGGTTAACAATGAAGAGTTCTTACAAGTTGAGCAACAAGGAAAGCAAAGATCAAGAGAGTCCCTGGACGTTCTAGAAATGACCAGCTTCGGCTACGTGTTACGAATATAAGTGCTTGGCTTATGATGCTCACTTGGAGATACACTGCGGATGAGACTTGTTCACTGTTGTTACAGATTGATTTGACATGGAAGTGTTTCTGCAGAGTAAAAAGATCAAGGGATGGTTCTGTGTGTACAAGAAGTTAGCTAAACCGAATATACCTCGAAGAAGGTGGTGGAGACAATGAGCCAGTAGAATAGGACGGTGACCAGTGCTAGGTATGTTCCAATGACAATACCAGTCGCAAATATCTGGTTTAGTTTCCAACTTTCCGGTGTAGGAGATGGCCTAACTCTATCTTTAGAGATAGTCATGATGGTCCCTGATGCATAGGAGATCAACAAGAGCACTTGAGAGTGTTAACACCTAGTTTTTTGTTTACATCAAACATGAAGAAGCTAATGAGAGGATCATGAGACTACCATCATTGAGTATTGCAATGATCAGAACCATGAAAGGGGGAAAGTCATATTCCCATATCAATGCTAAAAGTGTAAAGCCAAGCTGCATGAAACAATGATAAGAAGAGGAAGCTCAAGTAGATGTGTTTTAAACTAACATGAGTTAGATCATGTATTATAAAGCTTCTTACCACTATTCTTATGGTGATTGAGACTGCATATACCTGCAGATTCATACTTATTAGTGTGAAACTACTTGAAAAGTTGAACTTCTTTAGCTATATGTGGAATCAGATGATGGTACTTAACTGTATAGTTCTTCATCCGCTGGAAAATGGCTCTGCTAGTCAAGACAGCACTGATTATTACACTTAAGCCAGGCTCAGTTAGTACTATATCAGCAGAACTTCTTGCAGCATCTGTTGCATCTGCTACAGCTATTCCAATGTCAGCTTTTTTGAGAGCAGGAGCATCATTCACACCATCTCCGGTCATTCCAACCACATGCTTCTTTTCTTGCAAAATCTTTACAATCTCATACTTGTGTTCTGTAACATGAGAGACAAAACAAAAACATTTGGGATAAGAAATGAGAGAAAAGCTAAAACTCTCTAGATGTTAGCGTTGTGTTTTGATTATTGACCAGGGAACACTCCAGCAAATCCATCAGCCATTTCAATTAGCTCATCCACTGGAATGGCTTGATGCTCATCATTGTTTTTGTGGCCTAGCAAAGAGGAAGAAGGATACATGTTGGTTCCCATACCAAGACGTCTTCCTGTCTCCTTTGCTATCGCTAACTGATCACCTGAAAGTTTTATAGCACCATCAGAGAGTCTGCTCCTCTGCTTAAAAACAAACATGCAAGCAAGCTCTAGGGTAGGTATTCAGAATTACCGGTGATCATCTTAACACAAACTCCAAGGTTAAGAGCTCTAAGGATGGTTTCACCACTGTCATGCCTTGGAGGATCAAACAGTGGTAACAAACCACAGAACTTCCATGGTCCTCCGGGGCTTTTGCTGCTTTTCTCTGGAACTTCCTAGAAAAAAAAAGAACGATGACACAATTAATTGGGGTACCTATAAGATTATTTGCCAAAAATACACTTACCATAAAACCAAATCAAGAGAGGAAGGAAGAGGAGAAAGATGTTACCTGATAAGCAACTGCAAGAGACCTCAAACCTTTCTCTGCAAATCTATTGATAATGGCATAAACTCTTTGTGAAATCTCATTCTTATCTTGACACAAGCTTAGAACCTACATGTAGTACACTTGAATCAATGATTGTTTGTGAATCAGTTTGGTAGTAGTACCAAGAATTGGATGATACTTAACTTGTTCAGGAGCTCCTTTGGTAGCGCGATACCATTTTCCATCAGAATCAATATATGTTATTGCAGTACGTTTGTCCACAGGATTGAAAGGCAAGAAATGGACTTCTTTAATGTTGGCACGAGCCTACAGATAAATAAAAAACATTTGTATGAGACAAAACTTCTAAGAAGGTGACAAGTAGTCTTATCAAAAGAGAGTTCACGTACCTCTCTAGGATCAGCAAGCATGCTGACAATTGCTGTATCTATAGCATCCTGATTCTCTAGTCGTGAAGCTCTGCCTGCAAGCAACAAAACTGTGTCTTTGTCCATGTAGTCAGTGAAAACCTGTGCACAATTAAACAACAAGATTAGTTGAATAGACAACACAAAGAAGGAAGCAAATGTACTTGACTGTACCTCAATGAGATTTCTATCAACGGAAAGACTGTTCAAGGTAAGAGTTCCAGTTTTGTCACAGCAGAGGACATCCATCCCAGCCATTTCTTCTATTGCAGTCATCCTTTTTGTAATGGCACCCTTTTAGAACAAGAAGAAGCATCAGATGCATCTCTGTTTGCTCTATTCTAGTTAAAGACTTAAGAAAAAAGAGACACTGAGACATGTACCTGTTGTGAAAGTCTATGAGAACCAATAGCAAGGGTGACAGATAGTACAGTGGGCATGGCAATGGGTATGCCTCCAATAAGTAGTACAAGAAGGTTATTGATCCCAACTCTGTAGGACCGGTGTTGTATAGGGAACATGACAATGATTTCAAGAACCATTCCAACAGCTATAGAGCATATGCAGAAGTTCCCTATTGATGTAAGAACCTACAAGAAAACACGTTATGTTCTTGCAAGCTGCAGACTGTCTTTCACCACTTTAAGAGAAAGAAAGAACCTGCTGAAGATGTCCAGTTACATCTGTGCTGTCAACCAAGCATGCGGTTTTACCAAAGAAAGTGTTCGAACCAGTGGCTATCACAACAGCTTCTATTTCACCTTGCTTACAAGTAGAGCCAGAGAAGACTTGCTCACCCTTCTTCTTGGTCACCGGTAACGATTCCCCGGTCAGCACTGACTGCAGTAATAAAAAGTTAAGCTCAGAGACAGTCTTTAAATACTGCACTAAAAGGGAAAAGATTCAAATTCTGTGCATACCTGATCAATTTTCAAGGGGTCTCCATCAAGAAGGCGAGCATCTGCAGGAATGATATCTCCAAGCTTTATGCTAATTATATCACCAGGTACCAAGACAGATGCATCTTGCTCTTGCCACTGTCCATCTCTAAGAACCTATAAGAAGAGATCTTCATCAGATTTGAAGTAATATGGAAAGTACAGTTCATAATAAAAAATCATATAAGGTGAAGAGACAGACTCTTGTTTTTAGAGCCAAGCGAGCCATGAGAGCTGCAGCAGCATTCCCAGCATTATTTTCTTCAAAGAAGCTGATTGTTGCGTTGATCAGTAAAAGACAAACGATTCCAACGAAGTCTTCCCAGTCAGGACCTTGTCTCTGTAATTTCACAGTGAGTCTCAAGGTGTATCTTCATAAAGTAAATAACAAAGAAACGGTTTTGATAAACTCTGATTCTCTTACTTCACTATTTGCAAGGGCGATGGCCATCAATGCTGCAGCTTCCATAACCCATGACAACGGGTTCCACATAAAGCCTAGGAACTTCAGAAACTTGTTCTCCTGTATCATTGTGGTGTTAGCACAAAATATTAGAGCTCATAAGGTCTGTCCTGTCTTTGGAAGGAACACTAAGGAGACACTTTTGAAGATAAGCTGTTTATTACCTGTTTCTCTTCAAGTCTGTTAAGACCAAATATCTTCAATCTTTCTTTAGCTTCTTCAGATAGAAGTCCTCTAGGAGATGTTCTTAGGTGTTCAAAAACCTCCTCCAATGGCAATAGACCCTATCAATCTCAAGCGTTAAACCTTTTTTTATTACCAGTATAAAGCCAAAGAATAAAAATTTAAAGGAAACACACAATCATACCAAGTCAATTCCTTCTCTGTTGAAAGTACCAGGATCCAGCAATGGCTTGTCTAAGTCCTCAGCCATGGTTAAAAGCTTCAAAGGCCACTGTCTAACTTCAAAAATCTAGGCTCCAAGATTTGATCCAAACCATGGAACTAATGAAAAGAAACTACAAATTCTTCTTTGAGAGTGCTACTTCAGGTGCAGAGGCTAAACAGGAAAACTTAAAAAAGGGTTAGGGAATACTGAAACCAACTTTCCCTGGTTGACTAGTTGATGGAGTTAAAGAGGAAGATGAGATTCTCCTGCGAGTAGCATTTGGTAAGGCCATTATTTAGATCAAGCGTCAGCGTCTGTGAGAACAGCAGATGGGAACAGAGAAGTGTGGTTGATCTAACGGTCAAGGCACTAAAGTAACAACCTCATTCTCTGGGCCTAGCTTATTTATGTGGGCTAATCAGTTACGACCCAAATAAGTTATCCTCTCATTTTACGTAGACAATGAATTAAGAAAGGGATTAACTATGGACCAATGGTATAAGAAAATTCACTAAAATGGATCAATATGTCTTGGAGATGTTGACTATTTGCCTTGGTCAATGCTAGTGTGACAAGGTTTCTTATTTTGTTTTATTCCCCTTAGTCAAGACCTGTATTGCCAAGAAGTTTGTTCGTCTTTTATAACGACTTTTCTTGTCTTGTTTCTTGTTTGATGAGGACATGATGATATTCAAAGCCAAAGGTCTTGTGAGAGCTTTCATCAACCTCCACAAGAGACCAATACAACCTCTGAGTTCTCACATGCTTCGCTTGCTCCTTCTATGTGTTCTTTTCCTCTTCCATACTGTTTTAGAAGCTGTCTGCAACCATACAATCCTTAGCATTCTTGTAGTCGTCTTCGGAAAACCGCTTCCCTAAGTAGAAGAATGAGACGGTGGCGAGAAGTAAGGCGAAGATCTTGATGAGCGTGGTGGGGCTTTTGAGAAGATCGCGATTGGTAGCGAAGGGTTTCATGTTGCTTGCACTGTGTGATGATGACTAAGGAGCTGTTCGTTTGATAGAATGAAGAAGAGAAAAAAAAAAAAAGAAGAAGAAAAACGGTTCTGGTTTTGGGTTTTGATTCAGTAACTAAACCGGATTATCAAAACCGAAATTATTTACTATAAACCAGCGGTATAGATAACGGTTATTATCTTCTGTTGCTTTTGTGTTTGCACTCGCCGTTTTTTCCGAAAAAAGTCGAAACACGTCAAAATCAAAAGAATTTCAAAGGAGGAATCACCGATAAGGGTATGATGTGTTGTTCACTCGCGCTCAAGTGAGAGTGGGGAACATTAAAATATCATTTTGAGCCCCTAAATTTAACTTTTTTTGAAAAAAATTTTCATGTATGTGATTGAAACAGAAAACTCTAATGGTTACAAATTCTATATATCAGTTTTGATTATTTTCAAATTTTTATATTTCTTGCTCTAGGAACAATGTTGCTAGCCATCAAATAAATAGAGTTGGAGTAATTTAGATAAAACGGCGTAGTTTTTCAGATTCATTTACAAGTTGTAGAGATACTATGTACAAGAGGTGCGTGTTGAAACTTTATAGGCCAATTTGGTGTGCAGTCGCGGATTTCCGATAAGGCCATTCACATTTCACACACACAAAAAAACTGAAAAAAAATAATAATAATGGGCTTAATAGAAAAGGCCCAGTTGTGGCCCGCCTTATACCGACCCGGCAAGTCCTGCTTGACTGATACACGTGAGTCACGTGACTAGATATTAGTTCACCGTAGCAGCCGGAGATTAAAAAAAGATTAAATTAAATTAATTATCTGATAAGAAACAGAGCGTTTTTTTTTTGTCAAAGAAACAGAGCATTATAGATTTGACGATTAATAAATAATAAAGCAGAGAGATTTGCTCCGAGATTATTGTCTCTCTCTTGCCTACTGTTACTGAAAGTGAAGCTCGGTAAAGAGAGAGAGTGAGTCGTTGACGTAGGAGGATGAAGGAAGAGAGTGAGAGTTCGCAGAACCGTAGGAGTAACCGGAACAGAGTATCCTCAGCTTCAGCTTCCGCTGCTCCCGTTGACAGATTCCGACGATCGCCTTCTCCACCTCAAACTGCTGCCGCCAGGTATATCCCTGATCAAGTTTTAAAAATCTGGAATTTCAATTCAGTTTTTGATTTAGAGACATATCAGTTGTTTGAGATTGGTTTTCTTGGTAATTGGTTGGTTGCTAGCAAGTAGCAATGCTTTTAATTTTTTGAAAGTTTGGTTTTTGGGGATGATTAATTTCAGCTTAATGATTGAATAGCTCTGTAGGAGCATCGTCTCATGCGGTTCCGGTAAACGCTGGGAGTGTGGACTGGACGGGTCAGGGGATTGGATCGTCAAGACGTTCTTGTAGACCTTGGGATAGAGGAGATTTACTTAGACGCCTTGCCACTTTCAAGCCTTGTAATTGGCTTGCCAAACCCAAAGTAACACTCTTGTTTTCTCATTTCTCAAACCTTCTAATTAGCTTGGCTCTGTAAATCTGTAATGCCAGTCCCACCAAATTTATAAATCTTGTCAAGATAGTGCGTGGATTTTCTTCGGTCTGAAAGCTGATGGCAAATAGCTTCATGTAGATTCTTTCTTGGTTCAAACAAATTTGGTATTATTGATTCAACCGTATATTTAATGTGTCATGAGAATGATGCGTGTATCAGATATGAACCGGAATGAAAAAAATGAAGAAGAGTAGACTGAATAGTTAGGTTGATTCATCTGTTGGTTAGTTACGTTTTCTTCTGTTTCCATTTTCATTTGCTTCTTTCTATCACGTGTGATATATGTTGCAAATTTCAACTGGATGAAAGAAATGTTGTTTGATTAAACGGTGTGTCTGGCCATGATATGTTTTTGTTTACAGACAGCTAGTTCTCTGGCTTGTGCTCAGAAAGGCTGGGTTAGTGTTGACCTTGACAAAATTCAATGCGAGTATTGTGGATCCAGTCTACATTACACTCCTACACAAAATTCGTTGAATCATCCCCAAGGTTAATTCTTGTTATTGGAACATGACGCATCATCGCATATTTCCTGAACTGTGCAAAAAGGATCAGTTTTTAGTCTTACTGAGCATCTTTGGTGCCATGAGTTTTGATTAATAACCAACTTCTACGGATGAAAGGAGTTTTGGTTTAGGTCGTAGTCTCTGTCGCTGACATTTCTTCTCTTAAATAAGTAGGCTTGAATTATACAGCTTCATTATATATGCTACTAACCGTTGATTTACCTTTCTATCTTTGATAACAGCTGATAGCATCAGAGAAGAATTCTCGAAGCAGCTTGATGGCGCACATGAGAGCTCTTGTCCCTGGATAGGAAACTGTTGTCCAGAAAGCTTAGTTCAGTTTCCTCCGACTCCTCCACCAGCCTTGATTGGAGGTTACAAGGATCGTTGTGATGGGCTCCTACAATTGTATTCTCTACCTATTGTTTCGGTTTCTACTATTGACCAGATGCGTGCCTCAAGAGGGCCACAAGTGGACCGTCTTTTGGCACTGCCTCAAGTCTATGCCTGTGATGTTCCCAGTTTAAAAACGGATAGTGTCTCAGCTGCAGAAACGTCCAAAGAAGAGGCTCTCAGTAATTACTCTCGTGTAAGAACTCAGTTAAATCTGTTTTATATTCGTGAAAATTCACGCGTACTAGCCATAAACTGCTTCCATTTCTAATATGAGTTTTATCTTGTAGGCTCAAAAGCTTATAAGCCTATGTGGATGGGAGCCTAGATGGCTTCCAAATATCCAAGATTGTGAAGAACATTCTGCCCAGTCAGCTAGAAATCAAAGTCGTCTACAAGATCCTGGTCCAAGCAGAAAACAGTTCTCAGCATCATCCAGAAAAGCCTCTGGAAATTATGAAGTTCTAGGTCCAGAATATAAATCCGAATCCAGATCACCTTTGCTGGATTGTAGTTTATGCGGCGTAACCATCAGAATTTGGGACTTCTTGGCCACTTCTAGACCGGTTCCACTTGCGCCTATCAGTGTCAATCTTCCTGAAACAAGCAAGAAAATGGGAGTGACACGTGGCACTAGTGCAACTAGTGGAATCAATGGATGGTTTGCTAATGAAGACATGGAACAGCAGCAAAATGAAGATGTTGACGAGGCTGAAACATCAGGTAAAAGGAGATTAGTATCAAATACAGGTATAAGCTTCTATCAAACTGCAGCTGGTGCATCATCCTCTACGCAGCTGAACATGTCTGTGACGCGTGAGAATTACCAATTTAGTGATAGAGGAAAGGAAGTTATGCGAAGGCAACCTTCAGGAAGTGAGGCTGGTGATCGAGCTGATTCATATGAATCACGAGGGCCAAGTACTCGTAAACGGAACCTGGAAGATGGTGGAAGCACGGCTGATAGGCCTTATCTACGTATACAACATGCAGATAGTGTTGAAGGGTCTGTTGTTGACCGCTATGGTGATGAGGTTAATGACGACTCAGCAGGGGCTTCAAAGCGTACCCGAGGCTCTGAAGTACAAGAAACTTTTGTTCCCTTTTATGGGAGAGATTTATCAGTGGGTGGGCCAAGTCACTCAGTGGATGCTGAAAACGAGAGGGAAGTAAATAGAAGTGACCCGTTTAGTGAAGGAAATGAACAAGCCATGGCTTTCCCAGGTGCCAGAGACTCCGCACGTGCTTCCTCTGTCATTGCGATGGATACAATCTGCCACAGTGCCAATGATGATTCGATGGAAAGTGTGGAAAACCGTCCAGGGGATTTTGATGACGTAAATTATCCTTATCCCTCGGTGGCGAGAGCTCAAAGTGCTGACTTCAACGATCCTTCAGAACTGAATTTAAGCAATCAGGCTCAGCAGAGTGCATGCTTCCAACCAGCTCCTGTTCGGTCTAATGCTGAACAAGGCATTAGCAGCATAAACAACGGTGAGGAAGTACTGAACACTGAGACTGAGACTGAGACTGAGACTGTCATTGCTCAGGAAAAAGATGGACCGAGTTTAGGTGTTAGTGGGGGTAGTGTTGGAATGGGTGCAAGTCACGAGGCAGAGATCCACGGAGCTGACGTTTCAATCCATAGAGGGGATAGCGTTGTTGGAGACATGGAACCAGTTGCGGAAGTCATAGAAGTTTTGGGAGAGTTCGCACCAGACCAAGGCGTTACTGATGATTTTGTTCCTGAAGAAATGGATCTAGAAGGTAGGCTCGGGGATAGTCAAGATAGGGTGTCTCAATCCGTTGCAAGGGCGGACAGTGGCGGCTCCAAAATTGTTGATTCGTTGAAGGCTGAATCTATTGAAAGCGGCGAAAAGATGAGCAACATGAACGTGTTGATGAACGACGATAGTGTTCACCCATCACTGTCTTGTAATGCCATTGTGTGCTCTGGTTTTGAAGCATCTAAAGAAGAAGTGACTCAGACTTGGAACGAGTCTCCGCTCAACGCTGGCTTTGCACTCCCTGGATCAAGCTACACTGCTAATGGCCAAGGTCCAAACGGAGATAGCAATGATGAACTTGTGGAGTTTGATCCAATAAAGTATCACAACTGTTACTGCCCTTGGGTTAATGAAAATGTGGCTGCTGCTGGATGTAGCAGCAACAGCTTGAGCTTCTCAAGTATCGCCGAGGCGCTTTGTGGATGGCAACTAACACTTGATGCCCTTGATTCGTTCCAGTCACTCGAAAATGCTCAAATCCAGCCAATGGAATCAGAATCAGCTGCATCTCTGTGCAAGGTTTCCCACCAACTTGCTTCCCTTTTCTTACCGAGAGATAATCTAGATACTGACACTCCTAGGTTTCAACTGTTTTGTTTAGGATGATCACCGAACTCCTTCCCAGAAGCTCTTGAAACCCCACTCTTTGTTTAGCAGCCATGGGAAAAAATAGGAAGGAAAGTTACTTGCGGAACAAAAAATAGAAGGTACCATTACAGAAATTTCTTGATCTAACCAGTGGGATTACTTATCAGTTGTCAGGTTCATCAGCTGGGTTTCTATCTAGCAGTATAAATGAAGAAGTTTGCATAGTTATCTTTCGGATCTATAGTCACTGTTTTTAAGTTAAAAGTGAAAGTTTGTGTAGTAGTAACTCAGTAAAGACACCTAAACAGAGGAGAGAGGACTAAACTCAAGGAGTCTAATCACCCAATAAATTTAAATATGATTCTTGTGCTTCTTCCTTCTTAATCATGCTTATCATAATTATTAATCAGACATCCTTGATTGTGTTTATGTGTGTATGATTCTCATATTTAAACCCTTGATTCAAACCACCCCCATGTCATAGGGTCTTAACAGGATAAACGCAAGAACGTGAAAAAGACCAAACACAAGCATTAATCTTCAATGATTAAAGTTTAAAAAGATAACAGTAGAAACATGTAAACATGACAAATTAGAGATGTCTTAAATAAAAGCTATGGATTAACTTCCGAAGACAGCAACTTCAACGTTTTTGTTAGAGTCAGCGATGGCTGGGGGATCAAAGCGAGTAAAGAGCTTGTAGGAGGAGATTAGAGAGAGAACGACATATAAGCAAACCACAACGAATGTGATTATGACAGAAGCAGTGGCTCTATGGCAGAAACTGCCAAAGGAACTACACGCATCGCTCCACGTAATGGCATCGTCTCCTTTGTATGCTAAGTACAGAACTTCAGTAGACACAGCTCCAGCAGCAAGAACCAAGTAGGTCAGAATCTGACATGACCACGTTACTAAATTAATTAGTACTATTAAGAGCGGGTCATTTGATACTTAAAGGTATAATCAAGATCTAAACCTGGTCCAGACAGAAGAAGGTCCAAACACGAGGCATTGTGGAAGAAGAACCAGGCATGGCAGCAATGACTGCTGTGAGAAGCGAGTAGCCTGCACATATTCCATTTGCGTGCACCAAGTACCTAATCGTAATTAAGTTCATTATCACCACCACAAACCATTCATTAATTTTTGTCCATCACATAATCATTATATCTTTCTGTATCAAATCCTAACTTAAATATCAAACACATGTAACTTGACTAATACTTCTGTTCATAGTTTAGTATGTATATAATTAAAGCACGGTTTGTTTGGTTTCACGGTCCAAATTAGTTAAATACTATTACCATGTCACACACCCTAATCTTTAATACTAAAAAGTAATTAAATTATTATAATTAGATATCCATGTATAATATAGAAGATACCTGAAAGCTGAGAGATTTGCGTAAGAAATTGACCCGAACTCATTATCCTGAGAATTTTTAAGCATGATAACAAGAGCCGCAATGCAAAGACCCACCGGAGCTAAACGGAGCATTGTCTCGGTGGTTCGGAGCCCCGTACTACCATCCTCCCATTTCTCCGTGGCATCACCACCGGAAACGCCGTTGCTAGTCTTGTGATGAGCATCACTCTTCTCCATTTTCTTGTTTCACTTTTCTTTTACTTCTACTATCTCTCTCTTGGTGTGGTTTACTGAGGAGCAAATGTGTGTCATATAAACAAGTGGTGATGATTTTAATGTGTGAAATTAAATACAGTAAAAAACAAGTGTTGGATAGATAGAGTTTGGTGAATGCATTTAATTTCGATATTCATGACAATCATATCACACTTCCCTAGACGAAACATTTAAGTGTTTCTAAATTGACAATATCGCTGAACATGTGAAGATTAGATAGCTACACTACGATCTAAGCTAAGTCATTGTGATTACTAGTTGCATACTCCCCGCGCAAGCGCGGGGCCGGAATTATTATGTTTGCGTTTATTTTTTTCGATTTAGTGGTTTAGTGGATTCTTCTAATGACACCAAATAATAATGAAATGGAAAGAATATAGTAAGAGTCTAAAGTGAAAATATTGTATATCTAATGTGTTAAATGTTATTTATATGCGAAGTAAGATTTATAGGAACAGTTAGGTTATAATATAGTTTTTAGTGTGTAAAAGTAAGTGTTTAATTTTTTTTGCTGTAAATAGTTTTTATATCGTATGTCAAAACTTGATATAATTCTATATTTATAGTATTTATATTTGTATTAAACGATTTATCAATTTAAAAATAACCTTAATTAAGTTAATATTCGTTGTTTAAGTTTCATTAGATCTGTTTTTATATATGGTTTTTTGTAAGTTTGGGTTTTGTTCATAAAAGATGTGACATTTTTATCTACGGCGTCATCTACTGTGGGAATCCATTCGCCGAAGTCTGGAGTCGGTGGTGAGAAATGTTTTCAATAAAATTATAGTAGTTATTAAAATTTAAGAGAAATTACATATTCATTTAATAAATAACGAAAAATACTTAAATTTTGTTTTTATTTTATTTTATTTCACATACAATTTTTTTACAAATTTTTTGAAAATATATTAGGAATGAGTTAAATGTTATTTATATGCGAAGTAAGGTTTATAGGAATAGTTAGGTTATAATATAGTTTTTTAGTGTGTAAAAGTAGGTGTTTTATTTTGCTGTAAATAGTTTTTATATCGCAGATCAAAACTTGATATAATTCTATATTTATAATATTTATATTTGTATTAAACGATTTATCAATTTGAAAATAACCTTAATTAAGTTAACATTCGTTGTTTAAGTTTCATTAGATAGGTTTTTATATATGTTTTTTTGTAAGTTTGAGTTTTGTTCATAAATGATGTGGCATTTTTATTTATGGCGTCATCGACTGTGGCCGTGGGAATCCATTCGCCGGAGTCTGAAATCGGTGGTGAGGAATGTTTTCAATGAAATTATAGTAGTTATTAAAATGT